TTGATCTCAGTCCTTCCTCACAAAGGAAGTTGGGGGGGGGGGAAACTCACAAGATGCATCTGCCAAAACCCTCCGGTGGGAAGAGGAGCTGTGCCACCCACAGCGGGGTGGAGGGCATGGAGGGAGGCCCACCTGGCCGTGCCACTGTCCCCAAAACCATCCCAGAGGAGCCCCCCATCCCAGGCAGCTCTGACCTGGCGTCCCTCACAGATCGCCCCTGGCTGACGGAGTCCAAGAAGGTGCAGAAGCTCCAGGACAAGATCTACGTGGCCCTGCAGCACGAGATCCAGAAGAAACACTCCGCCGAGGACAAGCTCTCGAAGGTGGGGGGGTGGCCCAGGGTGTGCCAGGGGGTGTCTGAGCTGGGCACGGGGCTCCACCACAGCTCGTGAGCCACACACTGGGGGGTTTGGGCCACTCAGACCTGCCCAAGGAGCAGAAGAATTCCTCTTTCCAGGGGCTGTGAATCCCTTTGAGGCACAGGCAGAGGCAGCCCTGGTTGCTGAAGGTGGCACAGCAGCAGGAAGAGGGTTTTTTGGGGTAAAAGGAGCCGTTTCAGGAATGCTTTGGGCAGCACGGAGCTGGGGCAGGGAGGGGGGCCCTGGGGGGCCCTCCCAGGTGCTGGTTTTCCTATGGAAAACCCACCCTGGTGGGTGCCAGGCTGCCCAAAGGGGGGGTGTCTGCTGGTGCCCCAGTGCCAGGCAGAGCCACTGGTCCCCAGCAACCCCCCCGTTGTCCCCAAGGGAGGGGGAACAGCAGGGCAAGGGACACAAACTGGGAACCCAGTGGTCCCCAAACCCGCCTGCTTGTCCCCAAGGGAGGGGGAATGACAGCACAGGGACACTAATTGGGAACCTGGCGGTCACCAGCTCCTCCTCTCCCCGCAGATGGTTTCCAAGCTGCCCTTGATGAAGACCATTTGCAACCTGCACTTGGACAAGCTGGAATTTTTCCGCCTCCTGCACCCGGAGACCGCCATGAACTTCCCCCCCCTGTACAAGGAGGTTTTCAACTCGGAGCTCCAGTACAGCGACCCTCGGGAGAGCTAAGGCCGGGAGCCACCTCGAGGCCCTTCGAGCCCCCTCCCCACCCCCCCCCAACCCCCCCAAATTTGGAGACGAACTGCACTTCAGAGGTTTGGGGCAGTTTATTTAAATCCAGTCAATCAAACTCAAGAGAAGC